TCCAGAAGCCATGACTGATCTGCCTCACCCAGAAAGAGAGCAATGATGGTGCCAACTTGGGCCAGTGAAGCAACGTCCTCCACAACTAGACTGAAGAAAAAAAGGACAGCAACTTGTCTGTTCCCCTTCCCCCAACTCCCCAGCGCTGTTCACATCCCCTAATTCCACAATAATAAAAATCTAAAAAAAAAAAAAAAGAACATCCAGGAAGATAGACTTATAGAATGCCCAAATTAACTTAAGATAAATACAAGCCAACTGGCAAAAGGAATAGAGAGCAGCCAGGAGAGGGCAGAAAACCAAGTAGATGTGGCTGAGAGCATGGCCACAGGTCTGCCTTTCTAAACTAACCTCCATTTCTGCGATCACAAGAGTGGAGGGTGATGATTTCGTTCACACAGTTGAGGAGCTCCTTTTCTCGGTGGTCTGTTCTCACTGTCACCATCCAGAAAGACACAGACAATAAGATTTTCAGAGTGCCATGAGAGCACCTCTGGACACAGTGATAGCCTCCTCTTGCTCTATCTCTGCCTTCACGCTCAGTTTTTAGCCATGTGACCTTAGTTAAGTCACATTTTTGTTTTTTTAACTCCTCCTTTGTTTATGCAGTGGAGATCATTGGGCTGTGTGCTGTGCCCAACTCATAGAGCTTTTGTAAAGAGGCAAATGCTTTCTGTGCAGTAAAGCACAAACAAATGCAGGAGTTTGATTCACATTAGCATTGCCTTATGGTTGAGAGAACAATGAAATGAGTTTAATCTGAGTTAAACCCACAGAGCTAAGAGATAACCAGAAGGTTATTCAGGGACGCTACATCTATTTAGGGAACAAAAACAGGATAGGATCATGAGATGAATGGACAGGGCATTTCTTGTTTTATTTTTTTACTCCTATTTGTACAAATAAAAGCAACTGTAATTATTAAAGCTATGAATTGGGAGTGAAGCGCTACACAATGGTTTGTGTACTTCACTCTCAGTGTGAATCCTGGGCTGATAAACAATACTGACAAACAACATGTGGCTCTTTTTACAACAGGTTATTTGCTCTTTCACTCAACAAATTTTTACTGAGGGCCCACCATGCACCAGACCTCTGCTAGGCTAGATTGGGATCAATGCTATGGAAGAAATAAAGAAGTGACAAAACCTCTTTAGTAGGGGGTAGAGGAGGACATCTCTTTTAAATAAAAGTAGTCAAGGGGAGAAGCCTTGGAGGAGGCAGTATTTGAGCTGAAAGCTGAAGGATGAAAATGAACCTTTGCAGAGCTGAGACAAGAGCATGTCAGGCAGAGAGGGCAGCAGCGTTAGAAGGAAGGGGGGAAGGAGAGGGCGGGACATAGCTAAGGAACAGAACGAAGCCCCATGTGGCTGGAGTCGAGTTGAAGAATAAAATCGTCTTTTAAGGCGTGGTTCCGTGGATACTTCACAGATACCATGAACATTTAAACAGCTATCCTGCTGAACTATGGAAGAGGGAGCAGTGTTTTGTCCCTTCATGAACAATGGGGACCTGGGGACTTGTTCATCCACCCACAGAGAGGACACATGATCAATGGGCTCACCTTGAGCACAGCATTCAACCTTTTCTGCTTTGGCCCACATTTATCACTGTTACAGCTGTCAATGTCTGGAAGTTTCTGTACAGATCAAAACACCGTCAGCTGAAAAGAGAAAGTGGATAAAAAAGGCTGTTATAAAAGGCTTGGTTAATCCCTCTGGCCAATGAAACATTCTCCATTTATCATAGTGTTTTATAATGTGTTGTTTTTACTTCATAAGATAGAAGAGTAATTAAATATGATTTAAAAGGAAGATCTTCAGAGGACTGCTGTGACAGCTTCTAAAAACCCTTTAGAATTAAATCAACTGACAAATATTTAATTTGCTTCTATTAATACTAGGCACTATGGAAAATGCAAAATACCAAAAGACAAAGCTACTGCCCTCAAAGAATTTACAACTTGCCTGTGGAGAAAAGATGTATTAAAAATAGAAACTGAACAAGAAATTGTTTTTCATGAAATACAGTGTTCTGTTGTGTAGCTTAGACTGCTGTAAGAATTGGGATAAAAAAAACAATTGTTTAGGGTTGATATTAATCTCATAAAGTTTCACGTTGTGTATATGGAAGATAACCAATATATGCTTTTTTGAATAAATAATTGAGGTAGATTTCAGTTTTGATTTCAAAGTTATGTATAAAATGAATTGGCAATGAGAAATGGGAGTATCTCAAGGCAAGGGGGCCCATCATGACCTTAGTTAGGCACGAGTGGGAATTAATATGATGTATGGTGAGGCAGTGCAGAGGCAGGCTGTATGAAGGATATTATAGCAGCTGACAGAGGACCTGGAACAGAAAAATTAAAATCTGGGGTTGGATTTAAAAAGCAATTTTAAGTTCCCAAGAAAGAACAAGAACATGATTAAAATGGTGTTTTAAGAAAATTACTCTGATTCAAGGGCAAAGAAACAGAAGACAAAAGGTGCAGTTACAAATTATCAAAGACATTTTAAGAATAGCACAGTATAAAAAAATAACTAAATTCATACATACATAAAGTTATACATAAGCCAAAAACTACACAGGGCA